ACACAAACGCACAAACACAAGAAACACAACAACACACAACCACACGAACACACACACACACACAACCACGCAACTGGAGAAATGCACAACCACAAGAAATACACACGCACGCAAATACACAACCGCACGAACACAAGAAACACACAAACACGCAATCACAAGACACACACACACACAACCACACAAACACACAAAGAACCGCACAAACAAAGCACAAATGACCACCCAACCACACAAGCCACAATCACGCAAACGCAACACGCAAACAAAGACACACACACACACACAGACACACCCACACACACACACACCACACATTTGAGTTTTGGGAATTGGCTTTCCTTTGGTTTCCTTGAAGCCAACCCTTCAAAAAGGGCCATCCAACAAAACCACCTCGGCAGGCAGAAATGCCGCCCGCACGGAGCGGCGGTTACGCAGGTCCTGAGAGGCGAAATGGCGAAAGGTTGGGGCGTGCTTTTAGAAACAGGGCGTCTTAAAATACAGGAACCCTCACAATGGGACTTTGGTTGTCCTTTGGGGTTCCCGCCCCAAAGAAGGGTAGGTACCAGCCTTTTAAAAAAGACCTGTGGGAGTGTGCCTGGAAGATAAACTTCCTCAAACAAAAATCCTCTGTCAGGTGCCCTAACAACGGAGGGGGTCCCCAGTTATTAATGGGGCGACATCCTTTAGGTGGGGATTTGTGTCCACCAGGGGCGGTTTCTTGTTCAGTTTCATAGCCCACAAAATTCGGGACCGACCCTCAAGGTGTGTGGTTTCCTTTCCCCTCAAAGCCACACCAAAAGGGGACCACCACACCCAAGTAGGTTTTTTTGTTAGGCAGATCCCTTTTTGGTGGTTTTCCTTATTGCTTCCTTTTAAAACCAGCCAAAAGGGTACCTGAAAAAATGACGCACCCACATACGCCCTCAACAAAACGACACATCCTCAAAAAGGGAAACCAAATACACCCCATCTTGGGGTCAGTATTGTAAGCCCAGTAGATGACACGGGAATCGCCCTGGAATCCTTCCATTTGCTTAAGCCTGAAAACACATAAATAGTAACGTGGTCCACAAGAGGTTCCAATGGATCCGAAGCAAATGGCCCGTAGATTGGCCCAGCAGATGGGCCCCACCTCAAGTTGATCCATCTGTTGTTCCATTGAAAGGATCGCCACTTTTCAAGGTTCCAAAAATAAGCTGAAATGGCTCGGAAATTCGGTCAAAAACGGTACCCCTTTTTTGAATGGTCATCCCATGTTGACCGGACCTTTTGATCAAGATACACCAGAGGTCCAACAATTCTCCTGCCCCGTTGGAGCCAGGCAAACGGCGAGTTCACCAAGGGGTTCATGGAGCTAAACCCACCACGGAACTCCCCGAGGCACCCGACTCGCCGCATCGACTCGACTCGTCCCTCGCCGGTCCCACAGCCGGCAGCAGCCCTCCGCCCCACCGGAGGCGAGGCGCGCGCCGGCGCAGTCCGCCGCCAGGCAAAGCACCGAGTCCTGAAACGGTGGCGCGTTTTTTTGAGGGCACCCGGTTTTCTTGCGTTTTGCACGGGAAACCAAGAGGTAAATTGTACGGCTAAAGGGACACCAAGATACATCAAGTAGAAAAACTCATTTTTGGGGCTCCCTAGGTGCCTGGACCCTCAAACTACCCTTTAAAGCAAGGGAAACAACCCCATGATTTTGGCTGGCAATTCCCATGTTTATGGGTAGTTTGAGGGTCCGTGCCTTTTTGTTGCGGGTACTCTTTTTGTTTGCAATTTTGATGGGAAACCAAAAAAGAAACAATTTACCTGGAGGGGTCCCTTTTTTGCAGTGGGTGTGTCTTTTTTGGAGGGTACCCATTTTTTGCGGAGGGAAGCCAAGAGGAAAGCCATATCGGGGGGGGGGGGGGGCTCATCTCAACGGGTTCCCATATCAGTTTTCCCCTGCTCAAGCTTCAACTTGTGGGTTGAATACGCCGGAATACGGAAACCCAACCACTAAACCCAGGAAGAAAAATAAACACTCAAAAAGTCTAAGTTGAACGGATCCGCTGGGAACCCGAACCGCCCAAAGGAAAAACCACCGAACCGCTCCTTGTGCCCCCGCAGCTGGGCTCGACGCAGCGGCATCCAACTGGCGCTCAGGCGCGGGCTCGGGGCCGGCCGCTTCCGAAAGGCGCCATGGCTCCGAGCCGCTTTTGGGGGGCTGGGGGTGGGATGCGGGGCTGGGGGGGGTGTTCAGGCTGGGTGAGGGGTGGGGTGGTGGGGGTGGCTGAGGGGTGTTCAGGGGGCTAGGGCGGGTGTTGAGGGGGTCGGGGGTGACGGGGTGAGGGCAAAACAAGGATGTGGGCAATTCCCCTTGAAGCCACACAAAGTGGTCACGGCTTTAATGACCCACTGGGGAAAGCCGCAGATGCTCAGTTTGGGGTGGCTCTTGTATAGGAGCATACCTTATGAATCCGAGCTCACTCTCCGGGATCAACCTATGGGGGTTCTGTGGCTCGAGTGTAGATTGATTCAGAGGGCTCTGCGTGTTGCAGCTTGAAGTCCTCGAATAGAATCCGATTCAGAGAGACCTGGCTCCAATTCGGGATCTCGAACATGGGGAGTCGACACCCAACATTCCCGGCACCCCCGTTCTCCCAAACTACCCTAGCCACCAATGTGGCATAGGTCTGGGTGAATCCTATTAACCTATTAAAAGACCTGAAATTACCGGACCCCCAACGCAGCAACCTTCATCACATAGGTGAGGTCGCAAGGCCCCGCGACGAAGCTATAACATAACGGTGAGAAAAGCTGCAATCTAATCCACTATGCCCAGGCCATTCTGAAAGGAACAAATTGAAGTTGTCTTGCCACCAAAGCAGCCCTCGCACAAGGACACATCGCAATTGCAGAGGGCATCTCCCACTTTGCCGAGAGACATAGCTCCAAACTTGCATAGCCTCAGGATTGTCCTTCTCTGCTGCCCAAACAACCCAGAAATCAAAGGTGAGAAAATCCGCCGACCCTCTGCCTCCCGTCCCAGCCTCCTGCAGAGGGGACCGGCGTGGGATGCAACTGGAAGTGATTGGAATCAATGATAGTCCCTGGGGGACACGCCCAAACCCACAAAAAGTGGCTTTGGGACACGCTGGCGGATGAGTCTATCTCCCCGAGACAGACAGACGGGGAGCTGCTGGTCCTGATGTGCCTGCGCCATGGCACGGCAGGGGAGGGGAGGCAGCTGGGCGGGAGCCGGTCCTGGGACTGGTCCTGGGACCGGTCCCAGGACCGGTCCCGGGGCCAGTCCTGGGACCGGTCCTGGACCAGTCCCAGGACCGGGGTTTGGTCCTGGGACTGGTCCCAGCACCAGTCCTGGGACCTGGGACTGGTCCTAGGACCGGCGGTTTGGTCCTGGGACTGGTCCCAGGACCGGTCCTGGGACCGGTCCTGGGGGTCTGGGAAGCCGGTCCAGGATCGAGTCCTAGTGTGACCGCTGGTATTGGGTTCCAATTCAAGTCAATGCCACCTCAAACCGCTCCAGACACCTTTCCGGACAGGGATCCAGGACACTGGACAGGGTCCCAGATCGTCACTCTCTGCGACCAAACCGGCCCGTGCGGTTATTGACGTCCTTGTGGTAGTAGAGGATCCCTGGATCTATTCTGCAAGAGAGTCCAATACGTCAAGTCAAACCGCGCCAGACTGGGACCAGCCTGCTGCCGGCGACCGGTTCAGGGCAACTTCGGGAGGGCCAGTTTCAGGGCGACCCCGGGAGAGGCGACTGCTCCCGGCCAACTCGAAGTGACTTGGGCGCAAGCCGGCCCAAGTGGTAATTAACGGACTAGCTGCCCTATTTCTGACTTTTCCGTTAATCCTTGTTTGTGGTCAACTTCGGGAGGGCCAGTTTCAGGGCGACCCCGGGAGAGGCGACTGCTCCCGGGCCAACTCGAAGTGACTTGGGCGCAAGCCGGCCCAAGCGGTAATTAACGGACTAGCTGCCCTATTTCTGACTTTTCCGTTAATCCTTGTTTGTGGTCGTAGAGGATCTTATAAGTGGTCCCTGGGTTTGCGGACGTGTTTCAGGACCGGTCCTTGTGACTTTTCCCTTAATGCGCCGAGGGTCGGCGGCAGCAGGCGGGAGCCTGGTTAATAACTAAATAAGAAAACCCAACATCGAAGAACCAAAAGGTCTGATCTGGTCGATTCGCTTTGACCAACGCCTAAAGGCTTTCGGATGCCCCCAACTGCCGGCCTTTGAGCTTTGCAAAGCACCTGCGCCGAGGAATGCACGCCCAGCTTTGCCTATAGAGCCCGTTCCTGGAGCCTTGTTCTTCTGCCTTGCTTGCGGTTTCATCTGTGTCTTGTTCTGGAACTCGTGTGTCTTCTGGGCTTTGTCTTTGGCCCTCTTCTTCCTCCTCTTCTTCTTCTGGTTTTCCTGCATAGCACTTCCTGTTGCTGCGCTCAGTCAGCCAGCTTTGGCTGACCCATCTCAGCCCATGTCTAATGTTTTCGCCAACACCAGTGCTCCTTGACCCCCCATGTTGCGGCTGATCCCCTCACCGGCCACCAACAATGATATATTGCCTTGTCTCCCTGCATCCGCACATGCTAGAGCCAGGTTGGTGTGTCGGTGGGTTCGTTGCTTGCTTGGTCGTTTGGTTGGTTCTCCACAAGTATTAGCCCCTTTAGAGGCCCAACAAGGGATCCACGATTTTGACCAGTCCAAAAACCTTGACATCCAGTGGCCATCAGGAACAAAAGCCATCACTCAGCTTCTCTCTTGGTGGTTTGGATGGGTGCTTTGGAGACGTTCCGGTGGTTTCCCATTCCACGGGAACCAGGGGTTCATGCCAGCTCCAATCCAAACCAACCAAGGGTCACCTGGACCCCAAAACTACCCAAAATGGTTCAAATCCTCATCTCCCAACCACTTCTTCACTTTTCATCGATGTCCAGCTTCTTGAGGGTGGTTTCCGGGTCCAGGCCAGGTACTGGAGGTCGAGGTCCCTTGGCCCAGCCTACGGTTTGAAGGGCTCCCGCGATGGTCGGCCCGCCCAGGCCCTGCCGGCAAGCTCCATGGCCCAAGTCTCAGGTGGCTTCGTCTTGGGGTCCATTCGGTTCATTCCAAAAGACAACCCGAACGAAGACCCCCAGGCTAAGAGTGCTGACCCCTTGGTGTGGTAGCAAACACTTGATGCTTTTGGCAGCCCCCAATTAAAATGCCAAGAACCAACCAACCTGAACGCATGCAAACAACACTGAAGAGTACATGGGTGTTTCTGGCTGATTTCCTTTGGTGTCCCTTGTTATCCAGCTCAGAGGGGGTGCGCCTCCCATTCCCCATCAACCATGGACAATTGATGTGTCAAACTAAGGATGCTTGGTTCCAGGTTGATGTCCTTGCATATAGATTAATATACATATATGTACATATGAACCTTGCTTTTAGTGCTTTTTGGGGATAATAAATCTAGAATCTGGAGATTAAAATTCTCGAATTTCCAATGTTGGGTCCCCAACGCCTGATAATTTGGAGCCCGGAGTCCTGCAACATGTCCCAATTTGATACCCTTTCCAAATAGGATTTCACTTCAACTAGAATTGGAATTATGAATATAGTTTAGTAAGTTTTCCAAAATGTGTTGTATGTTCAAATATAACTTAAATAGACAAATCATTTCCAAATAGGAGCTACATGTTCAAATATAGTTGCGGGTAAACTCCAACTAATCTTTAACGGAAGAAATTAGATAGGAGCTTATTCCCAAATATAATTTAAGTGTTGAATATCATCTACTACACATGCAATTCAATTAGCATTTGATAATCACAATTAAGCTTCAAGTTCTTAAACTACCTCGAAACAGGGATTCTAGCTGAATCAATTGTATTTATGGTCTTCTTTGGGCAGGAAATCAGAATTCATTCTATCTCAAAAGGCGGAGGTAGTAGATGAGCAGAGGTGGACAGGCAGTTCAGGGAGGCGGGGGAACGGTGTGTGAACATATATCTATATCTATATGTATATATATATATATATATAATAATATTAATACAAACTTAACACACATACATACATAAAAACACATAGAACCCCTCGTTATCCTCTTCATAAAATGCTTTAAAATGCAGTGTGTTCAGCATTACACCTACCTTTACCTCCTGGAAAAAGGTCAACATGAGCATAGCATACATGAAGCAAACCGCTCACCAAAAGCACTTGAAACTTTATCTAATTAAGAACTTGAAAGTGGTTCCACTGGATCGCTAAGCACTCAAAGTATTTTGCCACTGGATGGAAGATTCAAGATCGAAGATTACACAGAAGTCTTTCCTGAGAATCGTCAATCCTGGCCAAACCCAAACAACATTCAAGTTGGACCAGCCCCAAACAGACTTTCAAGTTCTTCTAACACCTCGAAAGTATTTGACCACTGGATTGAAGATTCAAGATTGAAATATTTTCCGAGAATCTAGTCCTCTCACTTTGAATCCCGGGAGCTTGGAGAAATGCGATATGACTGCAGATGGGTGCGCATACTTGGTTGCAAACGTATGCATTGAACACCTAGAGTGCTGGGACAACCCTGATTTATATATATATATATATATATATATATGGGAGTCAAGATTCAAGATTCAAGATTCCCAGAAAAAAGTCTCGGACTATTGAATCGTGAATCTTGAATCCATAATGGTTTATGTGTTTTTTCATTTCCTTTTTTATCTGGGATTCAAGATGCAAGATGCCAAGAAAAATATATCAGGTTCTTGAATCGTGAATCTTGAATCCCGGAGTTTGTTTATGTTTTTCTGTTGTTCTTTCTTTTTACTATGAGTTGTTCTAATACTCTTGAATGCATCTTTTGACACTAATACTGGCGGATTTTCACACGTGCGACCTCTGTCTGCTCATTGGCATCGTTTTGTACTGCATGTACAGAGGGCAGGAGCGGTCATTTTGTCAACTACCTTACCTGCAAAACGGGTTCGCTTCCTTTTCCAAGTAGCCCAAAAAAGGTCCAACTCGTTTCGACACATCCTCATCTACAGCAAAAAGGATGGCATGAGGGCCTCACTCGGAACTGAGTAACTCACATTTACCCAGTGACTCATAGGCTGGTTGTGTTTTTCTTGATGGTGCATATGGTGCCTTTTCGGGGTTAAAGGGGAACCTGAAAAGAAAGCAACGCATCTCACTTCCTGAGTGGATTGGCCCAAAAAAGTCTGAACTTCTCATTTCCCCTTAAACATGTCTTCCCAAGAGGTGTAAAGTCCAGGAACTCAGGGAGTGAGTCATTTTGCGGGGGTCCAAATCCCAACTTTCTCAAGAGCCATGCCCATATACCCTGAACATGTCAAGGAGTTCTCAAATGAGTACTTTGGAGAAGTCGCATGAGGGGCGGCGCCATTGGGGGCGGGGGGTCACCTATTTTGAGACACAAATGAGGACCTTCTGGTTTCCGGCCCTTTTCGGTCCCTTTCAAAGGGAGCACATGGCTCAAATGGTACCCCAAAATATATGTGGCGGCCCTGGTAACTGGGTGTGGGTCAAAAAGAGGTTCCCAAGATGGGTGTCCGATCGGTCAATGACTAAAACTTGCGGTCCATGTCCTGGTGGTTTAATTTTGGCCCAGACCCAGATGGAAACAAAGACCCTAGCTCTTTCCACGCCCAAGTAGGTTGGGAATGAATGTTGGGCTGAATGGAGACAAAAACACATCAGTTGCCCCGAGAGTAGAACCATCCATCAGCCTTCCCGGTGACTTGGATTGGTGGTTTGGAGGTTGCTGGTGGCTTCCCATCCCTCAAACTAGAACCAGCGGTTGATTTCAAGTCCCCAGTTCCAATCCAAGCCATCAAGGGGCTACCTGCACCCCCCAAAAAAAAGAGGTGGATATTGCCAACCCAAAGAATCGTTTGTGATCTTCCCAAGAGGGATATGTTTGAGGGTCCTTTCGGTTCCGCACTGCAGGACCCGGGATCGGCATCCGGTCACAATTGCCCAGCAGGTACGGTGCTGTTTTTTTGCGGGGGCAACCATCCACATTTGGATAAGAACAAACCGGCAACAACCATGTGTCTCTTGCTTGGAGCCCCTTTTTTCCCCGCTTTGGGCCGGGAGTTCGCCGGTCAAAGCACATCTTACGCCGGGCGCCGAACCGCCCGTGCGCCCACCTCAGGTAGCGCTGGAACTCCCCAAGCTGCCCCCGAAGATCCGCGAAGGAGACTTGAAGCCCCCGAGACTCCGCGAAGCGCCGCAGCGGCTCCAGCGCCTCGAAGCAGCAAGCGGCGGTTTCGGGGGAGAACTGGGGACCTAATTACTACCCATAGACATGTGATATTGCCCCATTTGATATTGCACCTGGACCCCCAAACTACCCCAAACCATGGGATATTGACCCATTTGTTTCATATATATTTTCACTGCGGACACGAAATGGACTAGTGAAAAAGGGCACGCTCAAAAAGTAGCAGTAGCAGACCCTTGAAAAAGGTAGCACCAAACCACCCCACCCCATCCCACCCCACCCCCCTTCGCGCCCCCCCTCGCCTCCTGCCCCAAACGCGCAAGCGCCCGCCGGCTCCGCGCGTCCAGCGGCACATCCAGCGATTCTTCCTCCCAGCGCGCGTCGAGGTCCCGAAGCAGCTCTGCCTGTCACTTCAGCCGCCATTGGCTTTAAGTTCCCCCGGAAAAACAACCAGTGGATTCTTTAACCAGCTGGGGAAAATCAATCTGAAATTTTCTTATGCTTGTTTTGTTCTTTTGGAGAACAGTAGGCTCCCTCTAACAGCCAGAAGCTTCCCCAAATGGCCTCTACCAGGTATTTTATTTCGGGGTCCGTTCGGGAGATTCCATGTTGGCGGGGGGGACGGTAGTGATAAATTCCCTTGAACACCAACATAAGAAAATCAAGAAAAAAAAGGAGTCGCAGGATGTTTTTGGTTTTTGGAGTCGACCAACTCGGCTGCCCAGTTTGGATGCAGAAATAAAAGGTGCCATGATCACGTTTTTGGGCCGCGATTACAAATGGTTGCCAAAAAGGGGAAGCCAACAAAGTCAAAAAGTCGGCTTCGGGCAAAAAAGGAAACGGCTGAGCTGAACCTTTACTCTTGTTGATTTGGAGGTGTTCAGTTTCTGCCTGATTGGTGGGTTGGATTGGCCCTCTGGAGGTGTGGAGGTTGGGCAATGTCCCATTTACCATCAAAAAGAACCGGGGGTTCGAATCCCAACCACGACGGCTGTTTCCCATGTCCAAAATCCCAAGTCAAAAACACAGCGGTTGAAGGTTTTTTGCTTGTTCTTTCTCAAGATAAGTGGTTTGTTCAAATTTGTGATTTAAATCTGAATGTTCCCCCAATAATTGGATCGACGCAAATTGGATCACCAATAATTGGATCATTTCCAATAAATAATTCCAAGCTCCAAAACCTGAAATGGGGTTCGTCTCATAGGAGAACCCCAAGATAGGGGATCCGCAATGGCCACGATTACCTTGTTCAAGGGACACCGGATTTCGGCCTAAAAGGTTTGCGTTTCCATATAACTGCCATTGGTGTAGGTTCCGAAACAAAATGGCTCGGACTCCCTGCTCAACCTGAACTATTTTCGGGGACCAAAGTCATTTGGGGGTGTCACTTTTGGTGCCTCTTTGGGATTGTTTTGGGAGACCAAAGGCATCAACACCATTTTGTGAAGTTCGTTCGTCTTTGTTGAGTCAACCCCATTTGGGCTCCTAACAAATCACACGCAACCACGTGCCTGTGCGTTCGTCTTTTTTGAGGGTACCTTCTGGATTGAAACCAAATACAACCACGCATTTGGCGTTCCCCGAATCCTTGGCTTTTAAAAGGGGTTTCCCCTAAAACCACAAACAGCAATGGGTCCAAATAAGCAAGCCACCCAGTAGAAGTTGTCCGAGTGGCGCTGTAGACCTCGTTCTCAAGCGGGTCCAGCCGTCCGCTGATCTGCCGCCAGGTGCCGCTTTCCTTGAAAGCTGCCGCCTGCGAAACGCGACGCATTTCGACGACAGCTGCCGAGTGATTCGTCCGGCCCCAACAGGTGGGTGGGTGTTTTTGTTTGAGGGTACCGAAACTTTAAAGCACTTGGTATGGAAGGCAAAACACCTTGTTTTTGCAGCCCCCTACTAGAACAAAATAAATAAAGACTTGCTGGCAACAGTGAAGGAGAGGCCCCTTAAACTACTCAAAGGAAATCACCCACCATTGTTTTGGTTGGCAATATCAACCAGCATGGGTTCCAGGTAGCCAAAGGTTTCCGCGTTCTTGCGGGCTTCGGGCAGCGACTGAGGCCAACTGCCTACATGTCCATGTCGGCATGCAAAGCCGTAGACAAGAAAGGAGAGTCACGTGGAACGGGCGGGGACATGTCTGTTGAAACGCTGTGTTTTGTTGAACATCTGAGCTTCGTTGAACAAGTTCCACAAACTCCTGGCCTATTGGTCGACTTCAACCCTTCTACATTCAACATGTTCTTTGTTCATCAGTTTAGTCCTTTGTTCATCAATTTAGCGAAGATGAACGATGGTCCCAAACATGGGTTCCTCACTTTCTGAGAATATTGGCAAGAACAAATCTAAACTGTTTGTTTACCCCCAATCAGCTTCAAAATGTGGCAGGGGACCGCTGGTTTTCGTCTACCTTTTTTTCTTGCTGGAGCTCAGTAGGGAGTCACCGAGACCGGGCGTTGGGAATAATCCGTTTCGGGGATCCCCTTAACAAGGAAACCCAATCGGATGGATGAGTCTTTTTCTCGGATTCATTCAATTTCTCATTCGCTGTATCTCTCGAACCAGCAAGCTTTGGGGGACTGACAGAAAACACACACATCCTCATGTGGCCGTGTTTTTTCTAGGGCACCCCTCCTCGCAAAATGTTTCTATGTTTGAGCCGCCAAACGCCGCTTCACGTGTCATTTGCCAAGCCGCCGCCACGGCACTTTGGCCGAGCACTTGCCGCAGCTGCTCCTCGTCCAGAAGCTGCGCCTGCGCCGCCGCTGCGCTGTCGCCGCGTTCGCCGCTTTCGCCGGCCAAAGACCTGGCTGAACCCGATCGCAAATGGTAACTGGGCTGCCCGTGTTCACATCCCCCCCTAAAAGTGACGTTTAACTTTTAGTGGGTTAAATGGAAACTACGACTCAACACTAGAAGGCGAAAAAACAACGGGGATGGCTGGGAGCCACCAAAGTAAGCAAGAACAGGGTTTCCACGGGGCTCATTGGGAGATAAGCCCGCCGTTGGACGCACATGTCCAAATGGCGAAGTCTCGCGGACAGAGCTACAGAAGCAAACCCGTCAAACAAAACCGCGCTTCCCCCGCAGCAACTTCAGCCAGTCCAACAAATCGATGAGATTTTCAAAAAACAACAACTGCCCCCCAACCACATCCAACAAATCGCTGAAAATGAAAGAACAACTGCCCCCCAACCATCCCTCAACCACAGCAAGCCCGCTCTTTGCTTCGCCTCCGCAGCAGCCGCGCGCGGCGCCGCCCGCTCCGCAGGTCATCCGCCAAGGAGGCGGCGGCGGAAGCGCCGTCGCCGTGCCACGCGCCCAGCTCCGCCGCGTGGCACCTACGAAGCCACAAGCCGCGGTTGGTCGCAGGCCATGGAAAAGGTGGTGCATGAGGGGCCATATGCGTGTCTCAAAATAGGCGACCCCTTTTTTTTGGGGTGGGTCTTTTTTGGGAAACTAGAGGAAACTGGCGCCATTCAGCGGGGGTCACCTATCTTGAGACACATGAGGATTTTCAGGGATCCTTCCGGCCTTCTGGATTCCGGCCCTTTCCGTCCCCTTCAAAGGGAGCGAATACATGGTACCCCCAATTATATGCCAGGTTTTTTGATGGTTTGCCTGGGTTCCCGCGGTAACTGGAAGCACTGGCCCTATCCGGGAAAAATAGGTACTCGGAAAATCTGCTGGAGAGGCGCCGTTAGCATTCACATGCTTTTGAGTGCTTTCCCTTCATCGCTCGAATCGCTATCAAAAAGAACAAGTCTCGTGTTGGCTCTGGTTACAAACATGCCTGGGCCAAAGCAACCATAAACATGTTGAGCTCAAAGCAGCTTGCGTTCTTTGCTCACGCCAGTGAGCTATTGATTGTTGGGCGTTGCCAACAAGTCTGAAGCGAAGCGCGTTGCCTTTGGCAAGCACTGAGCTCCGCGTGGCTTTCTTGGCATTTCCAGTCCAACAGCTCAGGAAACACTTCAGCCAGCCCCAGCCTCTTCCCAGCACCCAGCACGGAACTCCAGGGTGGGTGGGAGCCTCAGAGAGACTGGAGAGAAACGGCCTGAGCACATCACACGCTGGTCAGCCAAACATGCAACCTGTTTGTTACTGCGAACTGCCCATAAGCACATGTTGAGCTCAAAGCAGCTTTCGTTCTTTGCTCACGCCAGTGAGCTATTGATTGTTGGGCATTGCCAACAAGTCTGAAGCGAAGCGCGTTGCCTTTGGCAAGCACTGAGCTCCGCGTGGCTTTCTTGGCGTTTCCAGTCCAACCGCTCAGGAAACACTTCAGCCAGCCCCAGCCAAGCCCGCACTAGACTGGGGACTGGAGAGAAACAGCCTGATGGCATCACACGGTGGTCAGCCAAACATGCAACCTGTTTGTTACTGCGAACTGCACATGAGCACATGTTGAGCTCAAAGAAGCTTGCGTTCTTTTCTCACGCCAGTGAGCTATTGATTGTTGGGCAGTGCCAACCAGTCTGAAGCGAAGCGCGTTGCCTTTGGCAAGCACTGAGCTCCGCGTGGCTTTCTTGGCGTTTCCAGTCCAACCGCTCAGGAAACACTTCAGCCAGCCCCAGCCAAGCCCGCACTAGACTGGGGACTGGAGAGAAACAGCCTGATGGCATCACACGGTGGTCAGCCAAACATGCAACCTGTTTGTTACTGCGAACTGCACATGAGCACATGTTGAGCTCAAAGCAGCTTGCGTTCTTTTCTCACGCCAGTGAGCGGCCCAACAGCCACAGCGTGAACCAAGCGACTTAATGCAGCTTGCGCCTCGGGGCACAGCCCCCATTCAAATCACATGCGCCTGGCATGTCACGGCCTTGCCTTCTGCGCCTTCTGCAATCGCAACACCTGCTCTCGTGTATGCCTGCCTTTCCCCTTCCTGGGTCTTCCTCCTGCATCACGGCCTCCTTGGCCTTCTTCTGAACTCCTTTCTGTTCCTTGAAGCCCACCTTCCTCTCGGACTTGTCCTTGATCGCTTCGCCTTGGGCGCCTGGGCCGGCGCATTGCACAAGGCCTGCGTTGCGTCCTCTTTTTGCGGCTGGGGTTGCGGAGCTTGCTTTGGACGCGAAGCAGGCTCACCGCCAAGTCCCTAGCCCACGCTAGAGACCCATCATCTCAGGAGCTTGTCACTGCTGCCTGGTCATCTCGAGCGCCCATCAGGATGCTCCTGTGCATGGCAAAACCTCCGGCCTCCAATTGCTTGCCCTGCTCAGGCGCTGCTCCCCAATGGCTTGCGCAGGGAAGTTCGGGAGGATGCACGAGAGCAAGAACCTGACGGCGATGGGGCTCAACACCTCACTGCGCTGTGCAGTAGACCCGTAGAAGGTTCCGCATACCAGCAAAGCCCCTTGACAGCAAGATCCCCGGGCACTTCTCACTGAGGCGCTTCAGCTTCTTCTGCCTGGCAGCATGCAACTCATCCTCATCGCTCTCATCTGCCTCCTTTCTTGCCTGCCTTCAGTACGCTCTTCAGCGCCTTTACCAAGCCCTTTTCCTCATTCTTCTTCTTCGTCGGCCATTCGCCAAGCTCTTTTCTCTCCGCCGCCAGGCCGGCTTCTTGTGCTTTGTGACCTTCTCCTCGCCCAGCAAGCGGCTCCGGAGCTCTCTTAGCCTTGCCTCGCCTACCTCAGCCTTGTCATCCACTGCCTCCTTCCTCGTCAACCAGCGCGTCCAAAGGTGAGCATCCTCAGCCTTTTTTTGCGGGAGGCTCCTCTCAGACTCTGTTCTCTCCTCTGACAGGCGAGGCTTACGCTGGGACTGGGCCTTGCTCTTGCTGCTGGCGGCTGGGTTCTTCCGCCTTTGCAGGGGCTCCCTGTCGTCTCCTTCATCCTCCTGATTCCCCAGTCAGCGCGGGGGGCCTGCAGTACCCCCACAGCTTCAGCAGCTTGTTGGCCTCTGACAGCCCATCACCTCCCACCGGCCTACGTGTGCCACGCAGTCTTCCCCAGCAAGCTGTGCGCAATCCTTGGGCGAGCGGCGGCAGCAGAAGTGGTGCAGGCTCTGCCTTGCCAACCCGCCCGGCTTGCCTATGTTCTCTATATACCAGGCGTAGTAAGAATCTTCCGCCCCGAAGTAGCGCACAGTGGCGAAGCCTCCATCACGGTCAGCGTCGTAGATCTCCTCCACTACTCCCAAGGCAAGCCCCTGGGGCGTGAAGGCATCGCTCAGCGCCTCCATCGAAGAGCTTCACCTTAGGGCTATTTTTGTAGGACATACTGAGCCTCGGAAAGACTGCAAAGAAACGGCCTGATCACATCACACGCTGGTCAGCCAAACATGCAACCTGTTTGTTACTGCGAACTGCACATGAGCACATGGTTTATAATGCCCATTATTTGAGGGTCCAAGCAACTCCAAAATGGAAAGCCCTCGTAAATGGAAACATGGACCATATCCTGGTTTAGCATATTCCCCCTCCCCCCCCCCAGGCGTTTGTCACTTCCATTTGCACTTCTCGTCCCCTGAACAAATTTAGACATATCGCCAATAGTTATAGATTCCATTTCAAACCAAGAGGGAAAACTAACAAATATCCTTAAGAAAATGCGACACTATACCAGGCAACCCTTCGGGTTTACCACGTTTTGCATGGTTCGCCTGGTAACCTATGGTAACTGGAACCACTGGCGCTATCCTGGCCTTGATGGGATGTTTTTCTGGAGTGCGCACCCCCCTAAAGTGGCATAAAGTGGTTGGAGCTGTGTGGCAAGTCTGGCCATCCGCAGGTTCAAGATCACCCCAAGAAGGAAACCCACTTTAGAATTGCCCAACAGGTAACGCGTACACTAACCTAAAAGGGGAATATGGATAGGTGCTTTAGGGGACCCCCCAAAACGGTGGTTTTCCTTTTGGTTCCCTTTAAAGCACCCAAAAAAAAGTGTACCCTCAACAAAAATACCACCCATATGAGTGTGCTTTTGATAAGGGGACCCCTAAAACGTTGGCTTTCCTTTTCGCTTCCCATCAAAACCCACCAAACGAAAAACACCCTTTTAATAGGGCACCCCCCCCCCCCAAAAAAAAAAAAAAAACAATAGAAACAAGAGGCACATTTTTCGGGAACCCTGTCTTCCCAAACTCCCGTCTACTGACCCCTGTCTTCCCCGTGTTCGTTGTTCGTGCTTCGGCGCCTCTTGGCCGGGGAGTAGGCGTCGCTGCAGCTGTGGAGGCCCTGGCGCCACAAGTCCAGCGCTGTGCGCCGGACGCGGCGCAGCAGCTCCTGAGAAGCGGCGAGCGGTGTGGCGAAATCGAGGTCGATGGGGGGGGGCAAGGGGGGAAGGGGGTTTGGGGGTGTGGGGGTGTGGGGTGGGGGGGAAGGGGAAGGGGGTGGGTTGGGTTGGGGGATTGGATTCATCCTTTGGGGTTGGGGTGGGGTGGGGGATGGTGGGACATGCAGGGTGGGTATGAGTTTTTATTGAGGACTTGGTGGACAGAATCTTTTCATGCGTGCAAATGGTACGTTTTGTTTTCAGAACAAACAATGTGAGCCCTCAAACTATCCTAGAAAAGGTGACATCACCTCATTATTCTGCAGCATCCCACTTGTTGTGAGGGTCCAGGAATATCATTTGGCATGGCTTAGTGCTTGGTGTTGCTTCCCTTGCCTCATACTTAGCGACTCAACCGTGCTTACCTGGAACGTCCCATGTTCCGACCTTCGCCACATTTGCCCTGCATTTTCCACCCGTCTTCTCCCAGTTTTCAATCCCCCCCCTCACATGGCTGTGAATTTTGAATAGGGACCCGACCCCCTTAAAAAGTTGGAGGACATCAACCCCCACGGAACACGACAACAGCGCGCCTTACTCTAAAAAGTGACGAGACTTCCAGCTCTTCAGTCTGTTGTTGCCATCGGAATTCCGAGTCACGGGTTGGGTGTTGGGTGGGGGTTGGGTTCGCGGGATAAAAAACTATTCAACATGGAGGGTTGACCCCAATCCAGAAATTCCTGGCATTGAACAGCCACTAAACAATTGGGTATGTGCCAAACTAGGGGGACCCTGAAAATGGTGTTCCTATGGGTTTTACCTTCAACTGCCAAAAAAGGAGACCTGGACCCTCAAGCTACCCAGACAAACTAGTTGATATTGCCCCAACATTATGGGGTGAAATCCCCTTTTTTCACCCCCTCCCCCGTTCTCCTGGGTCTCTGCATCGGTGGTGGGGATCTGAACCACACCCAAGGCTGCAATGAAGTGAACCGAGCCGAAGCGCCGCCAGAGCCAGATGTTCAGGATCTTCCTAAAGGCAATAAATCCAATAACCCTCCAACCCCGAACACCCTCTGAAAGGCATCTTCATCATGAAAAGCAATACTCCAAAATAAGGGGGTGGCCTTTTTGGGGACCCAAAGTGGTGAGTCTTCCTCTTGGTTTCCCTGAACAAAACCTACCAAAAGGGTACCCTCAAGAATAGACAGACCCGTATGGCTTGTGGTCGTGGCTCCCACTCAATAAGAATCCTAGTGGCTCAAGATCCTCACCAGGATGACAATCCCTACAAACCTTACGGAAGTAACTCGGTCTTTTGACCAAGACACAAATGAGCCGCCAAGGAGAGGCATGCGTGTGTGTTTCTGGAGGGTATCCTTTTGGGTCGGTTGAGAAGGGAAACCAAAAGGCAGAGTAGAGTTTTGCTCGAACTGCCACCATTTTCCCAAAGAATGAGGGAGTCTTGGTGGTTTGGCTCCTTTGCGGAAAGAATGGGGGGTGAACCGTTCGAATCATGTCCATCGTTTTCCACTGCTTTTAGGACTCTCTTTACACCGCTTAAGCATGACTTTGATAGGCCAAGGTACTGGCGTTCTGAGGTAAATCAACGCCAAAGCCCAAAGCACTCGGTTTCTTTTGCAAGGAACAAAAGGGGTCCGAGGCTGCATACACATTTTGGTATTGGGGAGCAACAGGCGGTAGCACAAGCGGCCATGCTGGTAAGTGGCGTCGTGAAATTGGCAACCCCACTTTGAATGGACATGATGTGCTGTTGTTTCTTGGCACGCGTACAACAAAGCTGGCATTTCGATGGCTCCTCTATCTCAGAAGCCCGACACGGATCTCCAAACGTCCAGTTCTACTCTTGTCTTTTTCCGAGTGCTTGCGAGGAGAACGGCTTCACAAGCTTCGCTCTTATTGAAATCGGTTGCAACAACGCATCCCTCGAGCACTAGAGTTCGAACTAAAGCAATGAGTTGGCCAAAAAGCAGAGCCAAAAGCCCCTTTTGGTCTCGCTTTCAAAATGGGGCTGTCTTTTTGGGCGGACCCACAAAATGGTGCTTTTCCTTTTGGTTTCCCTTTCAGACCAACCAAAAAGGGGGTCCCTCAAACAAAGACACACCCAAAAAGGGGGGGGTCCATGCTAAAGAGTTCCCTCAAACCCCTCTGAGGGGAATTGGCCGCTCCATCCGTGCCCATCCGTGCCGAGAGTCTGCTGCACCTCATCCACGGAGCCCAGGAGTCGACGGATGAGGATGCTACTGCGGTCCTCCTCGTGGCGGAGGTTCCTCGCGGAGATCGACCGGCGACAGTAGAAGGATTTCAGGTGCTCGGGGGTGTGAGCGAGGAACAGGCAAATGGCACCCCTTTTGGTGTCCCTTTGGATAAACGTGACATACAGCAGTTGCAACAGCTTTGGCGGCCTCGCAGCATGCAACGAGAGAGGATGTTGCGATGCTCCGACCGTCTGCGCGCCGCTGCTGCTGATTTTATTTGATTTTGAAATTTGCTTCAATCAAGCATCCGCCGGGTTGGTTCAGATTCTGCTGGGCTCGAACATCACGGAAGAGTAAGAAGCTACGTCGATTTGCAACGAAGCGTTTATATGCAAGGGCGTATTTACGCAAGGAGTATTTGCGCAAGGGGGTGCAAAAACAAAAGGCCGTGCTTCTAGGGGTTTGCTAGCGACATCCGGGAATGTGATATAAATGTGACGCCTGAGCACTACCAGGCTCAGTTCAAAACAGCTGCAATTGCAACTAAGCAGGGGATGCTGAGGATGCTGCCGCTGCCCTTGTCCTTGGAGTGGCTCACTTTCTCTTGCGAGGTCTAAGGTTTACAAAGGATGTTACGTTGATTTTCCATCGGAGTTACGCCAGCGTTAAGTTTCAATACTTTTCATACCCCCCCCCCCCCCGCAAAAAAAAGAGAGGAAAAGAACAACAAGAAACAGACAAGAACATGGGCACTCCGAACAGCTTGACTTGCCCAAAATCTCATTCCCTAAGTGTCGAAGTGCCTCAGGTACAAATAGAAATCCCTTTTCACCCCAACACCATCGGCTCTTTCAGAGCACCAAAGGCCCTCTTGGTAGCCTCCAACCCCCGGATGACTTGGACCATTTCTGCCCGAGGCCATGTGGCCCGCCCACAAAGGGGTACAATGATCCTGTATGGAAACAAATTTCCGATATCCATCTTTTCCGAAAAAGTTTAGGCCCGAATTTCAGAAACAATGGAGGATCATTTTCTTGACCCAGATGATCTTCCGGCCCCCTCTCCTCACTTCCTGAGTAGATCGGCCAAAACCTTCAAATGGCAACCAAGCCCAAAAAGCGACTCAGTCAAGTCCCGCAGCTCTTGTGTGTATGGGTTGGCCCTTGAAAAAGCGAAAGTCCAGGACCTCGGGTGAGTCACTCCCTCTCTCTCTCTCTCTCTCTCTCTCTCTCTCTCTCTCTCTCTCTCTCTCTCTCTCTCTCTCCCTCTCTCCCGGCAATGGCCGGCCTCACGCGCAGGTGCTGCAGCACCTTGTCCTCCGTCCAGGGCCAAGGAGCACCTCGGATCGCTCACGCGCCCGGCGCCCGGCGGGCGCTTCGTAGGAAGCCGAAGGGAACACGGAGGCCCATGCCCTATTCTTTGGGGGGGTGGCCCGAAAAGAAAGGAAAAGCATAGCAAGGCCTAGGAGAGACAGTGTGGATTCGAGCGATTGGACGCACCCAACTAGGCTTCTGCTTCCCCTGAATCCCACTACAAACAACCCCAAACAGAGAATTCTACAAGAGAGAGAGAGAGAGAGCGAGAGAGAGAGAGAGAGAGAGAGCGAGAGAGAAAAAAAACAGATCCTTTAAGCATTTTTCCCTGGCCATTGTCCATAAACGAGGTTTCCTCTCGACAACAAGTGACCCTCAAGAATGTTCTCCACACACTCCACATTCTCCACGTGCACCAAAAAAATACGATCGACGATCCAGGGAGGAGTCAAAGCTCCACGATTTCCTTGTCTGCAAAATGTAAAACAAAGGGCAACTAGATCTGCTGGCGAGTTAGCCGAACAACAACCTCAACAACAGGCATGCCTTCTACTTTGTAAAGAAACTTAAGGGGGAATGACACCCATAAACTGTGGTTTCGCTTGCTTTGGCTCTTCTGGGGTATTGTTCAAACATACCTTAAAAAAAAAAAAAAAACACAAAAAACCAAAAAAAACACTCCCGCCCAAGGGAAAAAAATAACAACATCTCCCAAGAAGGATTTGCTTGCTTTTACCCCCCCCCTCCCCCCCAACTCAACTCCTCTAAGTGGCCCTCAGCGCGTCTCACACGGATCTGTTCGCGCTCCCGCAGGAAGCGGACGAAACCCTCCAGGGAAGCAGGGAAGCCTGGCAGGCGCTGGTTTGTTCGACCGACCTGATGTTTTTGGGCGAAAAATAACGTGGGGTGATTTGTTTGCTTCTGTGCGGGGAAGCTTCTTCCCAGGTTGGGAAGGAAAACACCCACTCTCTCACGTCCTGCTTTGTTGGGCCGAAACACAACCATGGAGTGAGGTGAGTCGGTTCTGTGTTGGGCACCTTATTCCCAGATTGGCAAGGAAAACACACATTGTTTGGGAGTCTTTCCAATAAAAGGTTGATTCCGCATTCTTTTCAACCGTTCGTCTCAAACCTTTTGGCGCAATTCTGGAAACAAATCCCAGAATGGGAAAGGCACCCCCCATTCGTGACGTTTTTTGATTGCCACCCAAAGCTGCTGCGCACTCCAAGTCCCATCATGCTGCAACCTCCTGTACTGGAGCATTGGTCCCAGGTATTCTTAGCACGGCAGGGCACCGAGGGGGGGGGGGGAGGCGAGGAGGAGGAGGACATCCATTGTTGACTTGCTCTCCCGCTGTTTAATATGGAATCCCGACAAGGCTCATCTTTAAAGGCCAGTTGTTGGCGATCCGCGTCCGTCTGGCAAGGCAATCACAGGCTTGAACCCTCGTCCCAAGGAAAACTGGTGGCCAAGACCCTTCGTTCCGCCTGAGACAACCCAAAGTACCCGACCACATGCCCAATACCCGCCTCCCATGGATTCCGCAGGTACTTGAGAAGGCACCATTGCCTGCGTCGTTGCAAGTCACCAGACGTGGCACGCAGCCCAGTGGAGTGCCAAGGAGAGGAAAGGGCACTGCCTCTTTTACCCCCAAAATGAGATTTAGGTTTTTGTGTCTGGCTTCCTTTTAGCTGGAGATGGACCATTTCTTCTTGCACAGGCGCGCCTTCTCCTTCGCCTTCTCAGCTTCCACCTGCGGCTAGCAGTCGGGAAAGGAAGCGTTCACGCAGCCCGCAAGGAGCAGATGCGATGCGCTATGACCCGAACAAATGCCAAACCATTTAAGGAACTTGGCTGTGGGTCAAACATAGGGTAACCCCCAAATGGAACTCTGGGAAGTGGAAACATGGACCAAAACCTGTGGTCCCCTGGTAGTTTAATTTTGACCCATACCCATTTAAGGAACTGGACAAAACATGGTTCAACATGGGAAGCACGAGAAGGTCCAAGGTCGGCTATGGATTGGTGAGAGGCCGCAAGCCCAAACCAGGCACTCGCTAAGCTCCGTCCGCGGCAACCGGACCCAACTGTGTGATTTCCGGCAGGACCTGCGTTTGAAAGGCTCGAAGCAGTCTGAAAGAAGGGTCACCATCTGACAGGGGCCAGCAATGATCCCACCTTGGAATGACGCCTTCATCCCTCCCCCCTACGAGATCCCCACGGCCGGAGCGTTTGCCAAAGCCAAATTGAAATTTGGTGTGTCCGGGACATTGGGACCTCCCACTCATGATTGACCGTTTGCACTTCCCTTTCAAACCAACCGATGAAAGAAACGGCGATCTCGCATTTTGGAAGACATCCTAGCCCACTCTCTGGCTAAAGCTGACCCAACTCCCGCAAGGCAGCTCTCGCATTTTGGAAGACATCCTAGCCCACTCTCTGGCTAAAGCTGACCCAACTCCCGCAAGGCAGCTCTCGCATTTTGGAAGACATCCTAGCCCACTCTCTGGCTAAAGCTGACCCAACTCCCGCAAGGCAGCTCTCGCATTTTGGAAGACATCCTAGCCCACTCTCTGGCTAAAGCTGACCCAACTCCCGCAAGGCAGCTCTCGCATTTTGGAAGACATCCTAGCCCACTCTCTGGCTAAAGCTGACCCAACTCCCGCAAGGCAGCTCTCGCATTTTGGAAGACATCCTAGCCCACTCTCTGGCTAAAGCTGACCCAACTCCCGCAAGGCAGCTCTCGCATTTTGGAAGACATCCTAGCCCACTCTCTGGCTAAAGCTGACCCAACTCCCAAGGCAGCTCTCGCATTTTGGAAGACATCCTAGCCCACTCTCTGGCTAAAGCTGACCCAACTCCCGCAAGGCAGCTCTCGCAAAGCTAGACAAGCTGGCAAGGCAGCGCCATCTAGCCCACTCTCTGGCTAAAGCTGACCCAACTCCCAAGGCAGCTCTCGCATTTTGGAAGACATCCTAGCCCACTCTCTGGCTAAAGCTGACCCAACTCCCGCAAGGCAGCTCTCGCATTTTGGAAGACATCCTAGCCCACTCTCTAGCTAAAGCTGACCCAACTCCCGCAAGGCAGCTCTCGCATTTTGGAAGACATCCTAGCCCACTCTCTGGCTAAAGCTGACCCAACTCCCGCAAGGCAGCTCTCGCATTTTGGAAGACATCCTAGCCCATTCTCTGGCTAAAGCTGACCCAACTCTCGCAAGGCAGCTCTCGCATTTTGGAAGACATCCTAGCCCACTCTCTGGCTAAAGCTGACCCAACTCCGCAAGGCAGCTCTCGCATTTTGGAAGACATCCTAGCCCACTCTCTGGCTAAAGCTGACCCAACTCCCGCAAGGCAGCTCTCGCATTTTGGAAGACATCCTAGCCCACTCTCTGGCTAAAGCTGACCCAACTCCCGCAAGGCAGCTCTCGCATTTTGGAAGACATCCTAGCCCACTCTCTGGCTAAAGCTGACCCAACTCCCGCAAGGCAGCTCTCGCATTTTGGAAGACATCCTAGCCCACTCTCTGGCTAAAGCTGACCCAACTCCGCAAGGCAGCTCTCGCATTTTGGAAGACATCCTAGCCCACTCTCTGGCTAAAGCTGACCCAACTCCCGCAAGGCAGCTCTCGCATTTTGGAAGACATCCTAGCCCACTCTCTGGCTAAAGCTGACCCAACTCCCGCAAGGCAGCTCTCGCATTTTGGAAGACATCCTAGCCCACTCTCTGGCTAAAGCTCTCCGCAAGGCTCGCATTTTGGAAGACATCCTAGCCCACTCTCTGGCTAAAGCTGACCCAACTCCGCAAGGCAGCTCTCGCATTTTGGAAGACATCCTAGCCCACTCTCTGGCTAAAGCTGACCCAACTCCCGCAAGGCAGCTCTCGCATTTTGGAAGACATCCTAGCCCACTCTCTGGCTCGCAAAGCTGACCCAACTCCCGCAAGGCAGCTCTCGCATTTTGGAAGACATCCTAGCCCACTCTCTGGCTAAAGCTGACCCAACTCCCGCAAGGCAGCTCTCTGGAAGACATCCTAGCCCACTCTCTGGCTAAAGCTGACCCAACTCCCGCAAGGCAGCTCTCGCATCCTAGCCCACTCTCTGGCTAAAGCTGACCCAACTCCCGCAAGGCAGCTCTCGCATTTTGGAAGACATCCTAGCCCACTCTCTGGCTAAAGCTGACCCAACTCCCGCAAGGCAGCTCTCGCATTTTGGAAGACATCCTAGCAAACTCTCTGGCTAAAGCTGACCCAACTCCCGCAAGGCAGCTCTCGCATTTTGGAAGACATCCTAGCCCACTCTCTGGCTAAAGCTGACCCAACTCCCGCAAGGCAGCTCTCGCATTTTGGAAGACATCCTAGCCCACTCTCTGGCTAAAGCTGACCCAACTCTCAAGGCAGCTGACTCGCACATCTGAACCAAGGTTCCAGGTAAGCAAAGGCAAAGCTTCCAAGTCCTTTGGCCGGAATCATCTCAATATTGTCTTTGTTTTTGTCTTTGTTTGGTATGCTTTTGGGCTTGGTTCAATGGAAACCAAGTCTAAAGTCCTTTTGAAACAAAGCCATCTTGCTTCTAAGGCCGCCGGTTGACACACGCCGGGAAGACAGCTGAAAGGCCAACTTGGGGGATGATAGGTGACCTGTGGTTGAACGATCCATGGCGGTAAATGGTATATCAAACCTATGGTCACTCCATATATATATATATATTATAAATGGTAGACCCCAATCTATATGGTCATCTAGTTGCCAATCTAAACCAACTCTTTCTAGCCAAACTGACCTAAGGACACCTATGGATGACGAGAAGGTGGCAATCCTAAAGTCGCAGGGGGGCAGTCCCGGCCCCGTGCTTCACCTCCGGTTCAAGGCCCTGGAAACCCACTGATTGAACTTTCCATTTAGTGTTCAGCAGGAAGCTCATTCAAACCAGCCATCTCTGCTCCTCAAAACAAGCAATGGAACATCGAAGACGCCCACGTGGCAGCTCAAGAGCAATAGACCCCGCGCTTCCCTTTTGAAATGAGTGGCAGCCCCACTGGGAATCGTTGGTTTGTTTGCCCTTTTTTCCATGTCCATGTTTTTGGTAGGTACCCAAGGGCTTGCCAGCCTTCAAAAACGGTGTCCTCCTCAACCTAAACAAACCTATCTCATTTAGGCTCAACCTTTCAGGAGCCATTGTCCGCTTTGCTTAAACGACGCTACGCAACCTTGCCTCGCTTTGTGCTTCTTCTATCAGCCCCACAGAATTTCCAATAACAAAAGCAGGTTGCCCCACTCATCCAAAAGGTGGCCGAACACCTACTCCGAACTGGGCTTCGAACAGGGGGTAAACAAGTCCACGAAAATGACACCCTTTGGTTTCTCTTCAGGAAAATGAACATTGCCCTTCAGTTGTCCGCCGGCCGAGACCCGTGACCTGCTCAATGAGCGGTGCCTCTTGCGCCAGCTTCGCCTTCTCGGCAGCTTCCTCCTTGGACCGGGGCAAGGGAAAAGTCAGACCCAGGACTATGGAGCTCCTGGTGGATAGATCCAAAGCGGAGAAATTGGTCGCAAGCGACTTCGACGAGCAACGTCAGGTGAGACTCGAACATGACCTTTCAGCAAACCGGGCCAGCCCTGTTTAATGGGTGGTTCCGCTTTGATTTCCCCAAAACAAATACCCTCAACAAAACTGACAGTCCCTTTTTGTCCCCGATAAGAGGACGCCTGGCTCCACTTGTTTTGTCAAAAGCGAACCTTGAGCCAAATCCTTTGCAACTGGAATCCGACTTTCCGTGGAATGGGCCCCAAATCTTAATACATAATCACCCGCGTTGGGGAGTAACTACCCAGCCTCTCTCCATTTTGCCAACGGTGGGTTCAAAAGGACCATGGTTCAAAAAGGAACCGGCCCTGTTCTTTTCTTGGGCATCTCAAGAACCGTTTGTTCACGAGCGTTTGTCAAAGGAACGATGGTTGAAAAGTATGCAACAGGAATCAACTTCTACCCCGCTGCTATCTCCAGGTGAGCGCCATGACCAACCCGCATGCGGGGAGCGGGTTCCACCCTTGCCTCCATCTTTGCTTCCGCCGCCGCTTCCGCCTAAGCCGAAGCCGAGGTTCCCTCACAGCATGGGATTTCTTAAAACACGGAGCAAATCGATGTCGGGAAAATGGAAACTCAACAGAAACCAGCCAGCCGGGTCCCTTCCGAGAACCCCCCCGCGGCTCCAGAGGAGATTGCCATTATGACGCCACTGGAAAAGTCTTCAGAGCAAACGAACGGGGTAATCATGAAATGATGGAAACATCTGGGAGAATAGCATTGATGCAACAGGCTTGGAACAATTACTTGGCGCAAGGCTCTGGAACCAGGTCTGCTCCTCACACACAATTTACACAACAGGGTCACACACACACACACGCACGCACGCACACACACACACACAAACACACGAACACAAACATTTCCCGTAGCTGTGCTGATTTAATCGTCTCACACAAACCGCGCCTCTTCCTTCCTGTTCAGAGAGTGAGGCATCTGTCAATCTGTTAGGAGCCTGACCTGCTACAGTCAAAGGCGCTCTGGTAATGGCATGCCTGACATTCACCGAATAACAATTCCTTTGTGCCCAGCCAAAACGAATCGCTTAATTATTCTCTCCCAAAAACTGTGAGCTGCTTGTCTGGTTCAACAAATCTCTGTGCGACAGCTGCTTGTTGATCACTGCGGCGCGCCTCCATCTTCGCCTTTTTTGCTGCTGCCTGGCTCAGAATCTCATCTGCAAACATCTGAGACAGGTGGTGGGTAAAAAAAACAGAACCGTGATGCATAGCGAGCGCACCTCCAGCTTTGCCTTCTCAGCCGCTGCCTGGGACAAGCAGCACATTTGCACGGAGTCTCGTCAGGTCAATGGCTTGCGTTTCGATCGCTGCGCACGACAAAATATCATCTGAAGACAAAACTGAATGACAGTCTTACTATGTCTTCCTGCAGTGCGAGGCTGTGGCTCGACAAAGCAGCATTATCGTGCGTCACTTGCGACGGAACAGCTCAGAAAAATCAAAAACAGCTGCCGCGATTCCGGTTGTACGAGTATCTTTATAGTAGTCACTCCGTTCAAACTTGAGCGAGCTGGCCGCAATCTACAACGAAGCATTTGCATGTGGCAGCAACGGCAAAAGGCCAAGCACAGCGGTCACAGCTGCTCTTGCGCCACTCCACCACAAAACTTCAGCCTATCTCTCGGCTTGGAGCCCGGTGGTTTGAACCTTTACTCTACAAGAACCGGGTTCAAATCCAAATCCAAACCACCAAGCGTTACCCGAAAAGAGATCAGACGCTTCCCTGCCATGTGCATAGGGGGCAAACAAGTGCCCGAGAGGCGCACCTCATGCTTCGCCTTCTCAGCTTCTTCCGCCTGCAAGCAGCACATCTACACACATCAACGGCATACCCAGAAGAAGCCGCAAACCAGGTCTGGGCTCATTGACACGCCCGGAAACACAAACATGTCTGCCAAGCGCAAGCCACACTTCATGCAGCCTTAGATATTTCATCTCAGCGCACAAACCGGCCCACTCTCAAAATTCAAGACTTACGGCAACTTATTGCGCTGTCTGCCTGGAAATCGGTCAATTGCTCTCCCCCATAAGGCTGTCTTGGCTTGTCAGGCGAATCAATTCCCTGTGCCATGGCTTGCTTGTTGACTGCACAAGCACGCCTCCACCTTCACCCTCTTGGCGTCTGCCTGGCTGAGAACCCCATCTGAAGAGGACTGAAGAGGCTGTGGGTTGACAAAAGCAGCACTATCACTCACACCTTGTAAAGAGGACAGCAGCACAATTCAGCACATCCCAGAATCACTACGTCCCTCGCGTCAAGCATGACTCAATGCCACCACCTTGACAGTAAGCAGTCCCTCCGTTCAAACAGAGCTAGCTGGCTCGCCACAATCTGCTGCACTCAAGCATCTGCATATGGCTGCACAACAACTGTGAAAGCTAGAAAAATGTGAATTATGTCCGCCGACATCGTGTCGGATACCTAAGAGAGGATAGAGGATAAATTCCCCCCTTAGTCCCCCCCAGGACACGTCAATTACGCACAGTTTTGGCGCCCCGCCCCCCCCTCCGACCGCGCGGCAATTTGATGACGTTCCACTAAACGTAGTCTTCGGGGAGCAAAACCGGGGTCCCAGGCTCGATTTCCTGTGCCGGCTCTTTGCTGGTTTGGTGTTCCTGCCCCCTTTTGCCGAAAATCTGGAAAAACTCTGTGTTTTTGGACGTCCTAGTTGCGAAAACGCTGGAAAAACAGCGTTTTCTGCGGGAAATATTGGGGAGCAAGGGGGAAATGCAAGGAAGTGCAAGGAAATGAGGGGAGGAAATAGGAAGTCGACATGACAGGAAAGCAGCGGAAACAAAGGGAAACCGAAAGGGACATGCAAGGGACAGAAAGGAAAACAAGGGGATTGCAGGGGGAATGAGAGGGAAACGAAGCACAAGGACACCACGGCACGACGGGAGATGTAGGGAAATGACTCGCAACGAAAGAACGGGACACACATGGAAAATCAAGCGGACATACCGAGAAAATGTCAGGGACCTGAAGGGGGAGTTGAAAGGCATGGAAGGGACATGACCAGGACATCATGGTAAACGTGAAAAGGACATGAAGGGGAAATCAAGGGAAAGCCAATAGTGAAATGACAGTTCAGGGTCATGAAGGGGCAGTGCCTGGACATCGAGGCAACTCAGGGGGGGCTTGACGCTACAATGCAGAGAGAGAGAGAGAGACAGGGAGAGAGAGGGAGAGAGAGAGAGGGAGAGAGAGAGAGAGAGAGCGAGACACAGAGAGAGAGAGAGAGCGAGACACAGAGAGTGAGAAAGAGAGAGAGAGAGAGAGAGAGAGAGAGGGACAGAGAAAGAGCCAGAGACAGAGCCAAAGACAGAGCCAGAATCAGAGAAACAGAGAAAGAGACAGACAGAGAGAGAGACAGAGAGAGAGAGAGAGAAAGAGAGAGACTGAGAAAGAGAGACACAGACAGACAGAGAGAGAGAGAGAGAGAGACAGAGAGTGAGAGAGTAGAGAGGTTCGAGTTAGGGTACCCTTTTTCTGTAGAGGGGCGTGGACAGGAAGGAGACAGGGAGACAGAAAGAAAAGAGCGAGACCAGAACACACGAGGGAGACAAGGGAGAGAGGAAGAAGGAGAAAAGGGATAGGACAATGTCGGCGGACTGAGCCGGAGGCTCTAAAGTAAATCACCGCATGATCATTGTCAACCACTTTGCCGGGTTGAGCAAGATATATCCAGCTGCCCGACACGAGGCGCGAACCTCCAGTTTCGCTTTCTCAGCCGCTTCCGCCTAGCGACACATCCCAATATCAAGGGGATACCTACCTGGACCCTCAAACTACCAATAAGAGTTGATATTGTCAACCCAATGACTGCGCGGTGTCCTGTGGTTTTGAGGATAGCTTGAGGGTTCAAGTAGAAAAATACCTTTGAAATACATTGGTTGCTGTTGACCCCTCTGCAAAAAGTTTCACTTTTTGCGGGTCCAATGGAAAATCCAATGTTTCAACCAACAGTTCATCTCCAAAAAGATGAATCCGCTAGCAAATAGCCATACAGAAAATCAATACTTTTGCATCTTGGCACGCGCAACCAGGTCAGCTTCGAGAGCTGATTCACTCGGAATGCGCCTCCAGCTTTGCCCTCCTGGCTTCGGCCTCCAAAGTGTCTCTCGGAGTAAAATCTCTGCCTGGACCCTCGAACTATCCTGAAAAGGAAACACACCCATGATTGTTGGGGCAACGGCCCATTTGTTCTGGGTTTGAGGGTCCAGACTTCCCGATCACTACACATATATAGATTGGCGGTAGGAGCACCCATACGTATATATATATATATGTATATACTGACTGCGATTTTCTTGCTCAGAAGAGGCTCCTGGGGCTTTCAATGCCCTCCATTAGACACTTTCACTTAACGACAACTATGGACTCATGTCCATTTGACTAAGAGCGACTAAATCACAAATTGTTCACCGGTCACGGCCACTGCCTTTCACAACCACATGATGAAAATGAAACATCACCTCAGCACCCCGGACGTCAGACAACATCCCGTCCCCAAACGCTCCTCCCGCTTAGCCTTCTCAGCTGCTTCCGCCTGAACGAAAGAAGTCTGGTGATTCGAGTGGAAAAGGGAACCTTGTGTGGCTCTGCACACTCTGCACAACCAAATAAAACTTGACTAATCACCTTTCAGGACCTTGACTAGACCAAACTTGGACCAAAGATTGGCCCAGACCCTGGCTAACAAACGGGGGACGACACCCCACTCCAGGTCGGGATCCTTCACACCCAAACACCCAAAGGCTTCTCTTCAGACTCCGGGCGAACTGTCTGTACACATCGGGAACAAAAACAACAAACAAGAGCGACCTTCGGACAAAAAGACTGCAAACAAGCCGACGTCTTTCTTCGAGGATTCCTCCATCCAAAAAAACGAGACATAAAAAACCAGCAGCTTCCGGATGGCACACCACCCACCGCCTCCCTCCCGGCGCCTGGCGCCTTTCGGCCGGCTCCGAGTCCATTGTGGCCACCTCCATAGCCGCCCGTTCGCGGCTCGCGCGCTCGACTCGCTTGGCACGCGTGCTCGAGTCGCAAGCAAAAGCGATCGGTGTAGAAAGTTGCCTAGGTCCATGACCCCATGTTTTTGGTAATGACTCCATTTGTTAAGGGCCATGGAGACTCCAGGGTTCCCAAATCCGGAGGGAAGTTAAAAAGGCGGCGAAGGCACCAACCTGGTACTAAAGTTGGCCCAAATCCAACAGGATTTGTTTTGCAGGCGGCGAAGGTACCTGTTTTGTGGCTGGGATTGGCCCTAAACCCTCATCTAACCAGGTTTTGAGTGCGGCTCAAATGGCAAAGAGCGGAACCGTGACCCGGTACCTTGTACACTGCAAGGGTGTCCACTTGTCCGGACTGACTACTGGACTTTCGTTACTTGGCACGCAGAATCAGGTGTTGAAGCGTCTTGTTGGAGTGTTTCAGGCCACCCAAAGAAGAATTGCCAGCCCAGGGAAACACTACTCCACCAAACTCTCTGCTTCCGATTCTCAAGCCCATTCCAAAGGCGAGCGGAAGCAGGCGGAAGCCTGTAAATATACCTCCCACCAACAAACACCGAATTCCTTTGGCTGCCTTTCCAAAGGTGAGTATCATCATCTTCCAGGCATTGCACTTCCAGCTGAGACCAGGCCCAAAATGAATGTGCTGGCTCTGAATCCTTGTAGACCTTGAAATGTGTGTGTGTGTGTGCGCGCATCCTTGACAGGCACCAAGCAAATATGAAACAAGCTGAGCGAGAGTGGGCCCCGCGCAGCATCAAGAAACAATGAAACAAACGAACAAGCTAACAAGCTAACATCAGAGCCCACTTGTTGCAAAATACTGCAACCGGACACCAACTCGCTTGAATGCCAACCGGATGTCCTTGTCTCGGTGCTTGTCCTTCTCCTTCTTCTCCTTCTTCTCTTTCCGCTCCTCCAGCCACAAATCAAGCAAAACACGTTCTGAATCAAGTCATGGCTTGCTGCCCCTACAGCCAATAGCTCAGGAAAACCATTGAACACAAAGAAGTGTGAGAAGCCCTGTTTCCCGCCCACAGCATCCGAAGTCGCTGGGAGAAGCAATACAGAGGCACAGCACCAATTGGAGCACCCGGCCCCAGATCGAACAAGTTCTGAGAACCTCCTAGAAGCGATCCGGAAAACGGGAGGGTAGTCGTGCGAATGTCTCTGATTACCCAAGCCCTACTAAATATATCAGATCCACGGACACTTGACGTCTGCCTATGCCTTCCGCGTTGTCCACCAAGATTCCCCGGAAAATCAACAACTACCCAGGCAACAAGGCAACAAGGCAATCTTCAGAAGATCATTGGCGTGGTACGTTTGTTGTTATCTTTCTTTGAGGGTACCCCTTTTGGAGTGGCTTACAAGGAAACTCAAACTAACCATTGTTGGTCTCCCTTATTGCGAGGCACTCCCATCTGTCTCTACTGCGATTCAACAAAAGGCCGAGCCCATGAAAGTCGGCGACTCCAAGCTGCAAAGTATGAACAAACAACGTGCACATAATGAGGCAACAAGGCTTGCTTGCAAGTGCATATGTCATGGTTGGAAAAGGCCTGGGTTCACTTAGTTTTTTTCCGGGTGTGTGAGCGGCGACACCTTCTAAGGTGTTGCAACCAAACCTTTTTGACCCTGGAGGGATCCCCCAGATTGAGACCAGAGCCATAAAAGAGGAGTTCTATGGCTGAACCCTGTGGGAAACCTGGCTAGATGTGGGAAGGGCCCACAAGATAGAGGCAGCCCCCACATGAAGTGGGCCATGACCCATAGCCGCAGGCACCAGATCTTTCTCCGCAGCGCTATCTTAGTGCTGTTGCGGGCGCACCTAAGCAGAAACACGCATCTTACGTTGCTCCGACAGGTCTTATTGAATCTGTTGAGAGGTCTAAAGGTCACTATGTGCCAAGTGAACCACTGTCAAGTTAAAAGCCAACAGGCCAAATCAAGCAATAGTTTTTTCAATCATAGCCACTTTCGCACAAATGCGTTGACTGCAGCTGAACTTGTCGTGTGGGACAAGTAAGCACAAATGAAAGAAACACTTCATGTCCCCACCATGTAATGTGGAAGACTGATCAATAAGTGGGACAGCATCCCAAGTATTTGTGTGAAGTCAAGTCGGTTTCTCTCAACAAAAAGGGCCGCACAAAAAAAGGCTAACCGAACCCCTCAAGCAAAAACCATGGACTTTTGGGGATGGAATCCACAGAGATATGGGGCCGGCACGGAAGCAACGGAGGGTGGCATAGCACACTTCGGCCAGGCTTTCCGAGCGAATTACATGTCGATCCGATTTCGGGGATCGGTCGGTCCAATCGCTACTTGTGGCGGATCCAAGCCCTCTCCTGCGCTCCTAATTACATGCTCCTACCCTTCTCTTTCCCATAGCCCATGAGTCCTTCGTGCTTTACTTGACGAAAACTGGGAGGGTGTTTGTTAGTGGAGCAGATATGGTAAGCCTCAAAAGCAGGGTGGCTTCACATTGGTATCCTTTTGACATGAGCCGAACAATAGGTCACACTCACTTTGTCTGCTGCCCGAGTAGAAGGCACTTGCGTGGACAAGCTCATTTACAGCTTCAATGACCAGGATAACCTGTTGCTCTCATCTTCACTTCACATGTGTGTGTTTGCGTTTGTGTTCCCAACAAAGCTCAATATCCCAACACTTGGAAGCAACTGGCAGCATGTTGAACCGCAGTTGGGGCAGATAATTTGCATCCGGTTTTTAAAAACGAAGCTCGAGACCATTTAACCAGCAGCTTGTCCGATAACGTCTGATCCGCAAATGAGCTTACACCCCGCTACTGACACAAAACAAATGACTCGCCAAAGAATCGCCGCCTGCCAGTACCCTGCCTGGAATCCACGTTACTTGCGCCCCAGGGCAACTCCTGAAAGATGTCTCATGATCCCTATCGAGGAGCATCTCAGCTTGACCCGCCTGAGTTGGATCGACCTGTGAAACTCAACTGCGGATTCTTTGTCCACGGTCTCTTAAGACTCCTGATCTCATGCAGGAGGCAGAATAAATGCTCGACATCTTGCAGAGAGCGCCGAGACCCGTGATTGCACATCTGGCTCTAGACCAGGGCGAAAAGGAGGCGACCAGGGCGTAAAAAAGGCTACCAACCTGACAAGCCTTGCCAACCCACATCCTTGGTACACAAAGAGAACCCTACCAAAGGGCAATTCACCCATGCTTCAATCTCCGAATTCCTTTGGTTGGGGCCATGTCCGTTTCAACGGAAGGGTACTTCAGACACCAGAAGGGATCTTGTCTAAACCTGACAACGAGACGACAAAAGTCTTCAAAACTCAAAGCAAAAGCAGAATTCGAGAAGGAACTTGTGGAAACCCGCGGGGCCTCAAACAAATACACCCCCTCCATTCAGGGTCTGCGGAGCTGGCTGGTGCAGTCCTAGCATTACATGCCACGCGTGCGCTCCACATTGCTGCCAGTCTCGGGTGTCGTGGTGAGACACTGTCGAATCCAGCAGATTTGTTGTGTTGCCGATATGGGTGTCTTTGTTTGAGTTGGTACCCCTTTATGTTGGTGGTTTTAAAGGGAAACCCAAAGGAAAACCATCATTTTGGGGGGGGGGGGTCCCCCAAAGAAAGACACGTGGCGGACACCACAAAGGGTTCCAGGCAAATGTACCGAACAGGTGTAGTCCAAGAAGTGCATCACGTCGCATCTCCAACGACTTCCGGGTTAAAGAAGGTGTCCCCTAGCCGAACATGAGAGTCCCTAGCTGTGCTGATGTGCTGGCCTGTAGTCCTGCATAGTGTCGCCTTGCTGTTCTCTACTCAGGGAGCCTTCATGTTTCGATGGCCAGTACTCAAAATGGGGGCGGGGGCATCTTTTTTAGGATTTGGACCCCTCAAAATGGTTTTCCTGTCGGGCTCCCTTTAAACCCCACGTAAAAGGGGGAACAACTCAAGAAACGGAAGCTCGACGCAGGGTTGAACGAGCTGTAGGAAATAACTGAGGACTTATCCTTGGCTTATCCTGGGCTTATCCAAATAGCCCGCCCGCCCTTAACCCGCCTAGGGGTCCATAATAGTCACTTGCTACAGAATTGACAAGCCGCTGGTTTACTTGCAGGTTCGGCTCAGGTAGCATGTGGTTGGTGGCCTAGATTGTGTCCCGCTTACAGCAGGTGTACATATATATATATATATATTAATATACACACTCGTATATGTACATTTTAGTATAATGAAGTACTTCTTTCTCGTCAGGTACCAACTGCAAGTACTGCCAACATATAAGTTCCCCAAAGAAGGTTCCAGTGTCAGCCAAGAGAGTAAGCCAGATCCAATGCAGCCTCCATGGGCCATCCTGCCCGTCATCACTGATCAAGTTCTTCTGAGCTTGGCTTATGCAAATGATCGGTCGCTTCCTTTGAACCAGCCAACCCAGGGCAGAGCATTTCAAGAACCATCCATTCGCTTGGTGCAGTTCTTGTGGTGGTGCTTGTTTGAAGGATTGTTTTAGCCCCAAACATTTGGGGTGTGTAGTGAGGTTAGTGAGAACCACTGATTGTTGGATGGCAGGTGGGCATCCAAACACTGGTCAATTCCGTAAATAACCCTTGAGGCACCGGCTGAAATTAATCTCCACCCCATGCGGAAGCTTCTTCACTCAGACCACGGGTATTGCAGATCACTCTGCGAACAGAATCAGTTTCAAGCAGGAAACGAAAGCGGCCGGGCGCGCTTGGCAGTGGGATCTCCGATCAAAGCGCGAGGCCTCACATGATGCGCACGTTGTTGAGAACGACCTCGGCGAGAACTGGCTTTGTAGCTTGCCATGGAACCCAGCATGAGAAAACGGTCCCAGCAGCAGACAACGGTTCCAGTAAAATGTTCTTGGCCCACCTGGAACGCAATTTGGGCCATGGTTTGGTGCCTGGCGGGGCTTCAAAAACGAAATCAACATAAACCGCAACTGAGGAAATGCCCCACTCAGGACGCTTCAAACGCCAAGCATCCAAGTCGGTGCTTGGTTTCCCATTGCATTCTGCCATCCAAAAAGCGTCCCCTATTCTGTCTCCATGTAAAAAACACCAACTGCAGCAGTCTGTTGAGGCTTGCTTGACTCTTCCCCTGGAAAAGTCCAGGGACCACCTGTGTGAGGGGTCCTATCGGTGGCCTATGGTCACATGAGGGATTGTGAGCCCGGTCGGATTAGTTCTTTCTGGTTGGCCAGTTTTTGCTGGTGCCTTGGCTGGATATGCGATTGGATGTAATGGGAAGTGTTCGGTTGCTTGCTGCTTGACGTGGACTGCAGTGTCTAACACGCGATCTTTCTTTTGTGGATGCTACTTTGATGGTCAAACCTGCCAAATGTTGGGCACACCAATTTGGGCGTGTCGCGCTTTGCGTTTTTTGGCTTTAACGGGAAACCCAGAGGAAAACCGCATTTTTGGGGGGTCCAACCGAAAAAACAACACCCATTTAGACCAACCCAAAGCAACGGGAGGGTGCCAGCGGTGGACTCACTGAAGGGTAACATGTCTCACTTGTTTCAGGGAACCGATCTTTTGCAAGAAACCCTCAAACCGCTGCGGACACAGGCGGTTTTTGAAAATAACAATGGTTGAGAGAATGGGACATCGCCCCCTATCTGACCTTCCACGTGCTTTTTCTCTGCCGGGAAGAATATGATAAACCATATGTCACAAATGTCCAGTGAAATCGATTCCCCTCAAAACCAAGAGGTTGGGCAATAAACAATACTCGTTTCAGCAAATGGAAGTTGGCTTGCTGGTTCGCAGCAGGGAATGTGGGAATTGCCCCTATAAACCTTATAGTTTTTCCTCACATCTCCAGGTTCATGCCCCAAAACCCCAAAGGTCATTCCCTACTGAGCGCCAGCAAACAATCCAAGGCCTTGGCAAAACGA